ACTCACTTTGGCTCGCACAAACTCATGCACGTCCGACTTTAACCAAAATTGAAATGTGTCGACAAATTTGAGTAAAACTCATTCGGCCTTCATCAAGTTGTTATATGCAAATAGACGGACCTACAAGAGACATATCGAAGCCAAGAGCTGTATTTTTGTAACTTTTAGCTGCGAGCGAACCTAAAATGTTGGCTACATGTCCAACGTTTCCGGCTCAAGGACCTGATTATCGCTATTCGGTAATACTGATGAGGATACCAAACGAAACTTCGATTGTTTAACGGTATCGCCGATTGATGTGACGGGGCGCTTTAATCGAAGACATGAGATAGAAAAGAGTCGTTGTCTATTCTAATGTAATGCTATGATATTTTCTTGGTGTGGCTGTGATAAATAAAGGCAGATATTAGAAAGAACAGCCGGTCGTTCGAATAGGGTACCATACGAAATCCAATCAGACCCTTTATCGCCGACGTATTTCAGTAACATTTTCGTATTCCTCGCCGCTGAGTGTTAAGATGTTCCTTTAAACCAGGCGACTTCTGTTCCGATATAATCCCCAACATCAGCGCGCTAGGGGTTCCGTTGATTATTTAAAGACGTTGTTTCATGCAAAAGCTTCGTAGCGTCATATGAAACATTACACAGACATGGGTTAGTAAGAAATGATCGTAACAGGTTTTAAGATTTATTAAGTTTACTAACATTTAACGACGTTGTCTCAGCTGCAGTAGCGATAAAATATGAATGTGGTAATAAATAGAGACTGGATGAAGTGATCCACTGTAAATCATGTGCTGTACCAGTAGAACGCAGGACAGAGTGCGGGAGAATTACAAAATACCTAAGTCAGGATAGTCGGTAACCTGATCGAGACTCAAACCACGTACTTCCAGAATAATAGGCTTCAGCGTTACCGCATACCGATGTAAAACAATTCTCTGTACTTCTTGAAGGACTGGGTTAAAGTATGAAATGCGTAAATCAGGAATGCAGATATCATGGCTGAGATTGGATTCGGGTAACTTGTGAATAAAAGCGTAGAGCGTTGCTACGTCACTAATCTGGGCGGCGTCTGAAACATATTTTGAAGGCTGAGTAAATGCCTTGGATGCCTCAGTAAAGAATGCAGGTATCATAATCTTACATGTTCTCACGTCAGAAAGAGCTTTTTGCGTATATAGTCTTATCGAACACAGTCCTCCCTTTACGAAAAATCTCTCGCAAGACCTTTTATAATAAACAGCATAACCTCCGCTTGGCTCGTCATCCGAAAGCGAAATCGCTCAACAGAAATCTTCTGAAAAATATCGAACACGTACTAACTGAAACACAAAGAAATGACGTAGTGTCGCCCAGTTAGTAAAACCAGGAGAAGTAAGAGTCATCTCAGGCCCTACCCTCTACTTTGATACACATTCTGTGAAATACTTCGCTGGTTTTTGATAATTTTGTGGTTTATACCCTATTAATCATGCACAATTCAGGCAATATAACAGTTGATTTATAATTGTTTGGTAATTTTAAATTTGGGGGGGGGGATGTAACTGTTATTTTGTGGGCCAATGTGTAGTAAGAACCTACAATGAACTTTGTTGTAACGTTAAATACGATCACACACTATTCTCTTTTAACTTACAGCTAACTTGTATCGATAGCTGTTGTTCAAGGTCTTGAGTTCAAAATCCTTCAGAAAATTTTACAAATTTTGATGCTTGTAGCAAAATAGAACACCGTAAACAAATAAACAGGAGTCTAATAGTGTCTGCATTGTGATTATATTTCTTTTTTGCCCTGCTCTAAGTCTCCATACGGGTGCTGTAGGCCTATTGGTTTATACTGATTTCCTGATTATCTAGGTATTATTCTGCTGGAAGAAACAAATGACATGCGGAATGCGCTTAGGGGAATTTCACAGAGTTACGCCAGCAAGAGACCTGTATTTTACCTTTACTTGTCAGGCGGGATTCCACATCTATTTTCCTTAGAGCTACGCCCATACTAGGCATATAGCCTATATTCCATAATTACTTTGAATCCGACCTGCAATTCTCTCCTCTCTTACGCTCTACAATTAGTTCTCCCTTGCAGACTCGCTGTACCATTTACGTCAAATCTTAAACAGGTGTGTTTCAATCTTTACTAAAACGGTAGTCTTTATATACGCAATTTATTATTATGTAAGATTTAGGTTATCGAGGCGGCGAGTATGAATAATACTGCACATTTTTAGTTTCCAAATAAAAGTGGTAAGTGAGAAAGGATATGGCTGTGGTCTGTTTGAAGACAGTATGTAGACGCTGGACTAAAGAGACAGGAAAACCACGAAACTCCTCGAAGAAGATAGCTGGTAGCCTGGCTGAGAATGGACTCCAACGCCTCATGACACACAGTCCAGATACCGCTACACCAAACCTGCTTGCTTGCTTACTTAAGGAAATGCACAGAATTCGTCAAATATTAGCTAAGTGAGTCACAGGACTGTTCAAGCCGTTGTACTAAAGGATTGCCCACTATCAGGGCCGAAGATGGAAACCTGAATACAGCAACTGTTCTCAGCTTTTAAGCCACTAGGACTGTTAGAACAAAATAAAATTAACTTGAAAAAAATGTATTTTCAGTCGCGTTGCTTATTGTGCGTACAGAGAGATACAATAATTCAGGCAGTCAACTTCATCAGTTCATCATTTGTAACGTAACATTAGTAGCCTACATCGACCATTTGACAACTTAAATTAGGCTGTTATCGTCTTGAATAAAGGGTTAATATTCGAACCCACGAGATCAATTTTAGAATGTCTACTCGAAGAGTTTCGATATGTAATAACGCAATCTAGGAACGTTATTTGGCCTCTCAGTAAAAAGAGCACAATGTTTTCAGAAAGTAATTCTGCAATTATGGGTTCCGTATATTCGTTAAGAAACTCAAACACATTCGCTCAGTGTATGTACTAGCAGATAGACGCTTTCCATTTCATTACGATCACCTCCCTCAGAAAAATAACAAAAGAAACTCCAGCTGTGTAAAATAATTATGTTATAGCAATTTCCAACCTACACACGTCTTTCTGTCTTTTGTACAAAATGGAACTATTTCCTTTTTCACTGCCAGTAATTTAATTGTGTAGTTATTATTTTTCGGCTCTGTTTTTTATTTGTTATTATTTTAAACAAGATGGATGGTAAGAAAGAGACAAAACTCAAGGACTTTTATTTTCTTATCTATTATCCCAGACCGTTTATACGAAGCTAATCCACTGACCCAATGGTGAATATAGGCTATCTGTAGTCCTGCTGCCATAGTGACGTGACTTTTGGACACTACTAATGCTCCTTTCCTATTCTCATCATTGGTAATTTTTCATGTGTATTAATCTTGTTAGCAGCGTTGTGGCACATAAGTAATGGGTGATTCCTGCTTCAGTTTTGAAAGTTAAATTATTGCTGTGTTGACAGCATTAGGTATTAATATTGTCTTACTCTGAACATCACATCAGTTAACTTCATTCATTTTCATAATCAAAGCACAGACGTTGATCAGCCTGAGAAGAAAACGTTATAAATATGGATTTAAGGTTACTTAAACGCAATGTAGGCCTAGGAATTTCGAATAGATAGGCAAGATTATTATCAGCGGTGAGATGGGAATTTTGTGTAAAAGAGAATTAAGGATACTATGACTTCAGTCATGTAGAAAATTTGAGTCCTTCGCCCGTTGAGGTTTGAATCGGACACCTTTCGAATCAGGCGAGGAACCGTCGCATAAAATAAAACA